AAAAAAAAAAAAAAAAAAAAAAAAAAAAAAAAAAAAAACATTTTTCATATGATGTTTTTCCAAACATTAATTGGATAATGCATTTTTTAAAATTTTTTAAAAGACACATTTACTAATTTGCCCTTCCACCATGATGGAATAAAGTAGTACCACCGTTGTCCATGTGAGTGCTATCATTGCCTCAATTATTACACATCAAGAGCCCAAAGTAGTGATTTTTAATAATATTTTTTAATTTTGGGTATCCAAACAAATTAACTTAATAGGTCAGGAGTTTCTAGACTAGAATAATTGTGCCCTGCAGTAGAAAAGCTAAAACGATGTCGTTTTCTAATTTATAACCTTTTTATTTTGTAGGAGCCATTGTTGAAGTGAGCTGCAAGGCAGGAAACAAAGAGGTAGTGGCCTACGGAAAGACCAAGAGCAATGGCAAATATAGCATTAAAGTCAAGGGCTTTCACTATGCTAAATACGGCGGCAAGGCTTGCAAGGCTAAGCTCTACGCACCGCCCAAGGGCTCGTCGTGCAACATCCCGACCAACCTTCACTGGGGCAAGGTCGGAGCCAAGTTGAGAGTCAAGTCCAAGACTAAGAACGAGGTTGTATTGTACGCTAAGCCTTTTGCTTATGCTCCAAAGAAGCCTTACAAGGAGTGCACGAAGCCTAAGCCTAAGCCTTACCACCCACCTCCTTACGTCTACAAGTCTCCACCTCCTCCTACCCCTGTGTATTACTACAAGTCCCCACCTCCTCCGTCTCCGACTTACTACTACAAGTCCCCACCTCCCCCGTCACCTACCTATTACTACAAATCTCCTCCTCCACCTTCACCGGTGTACTATTACAAGTCACCACCACCTCCAGTATACTCTCCTCCTCCACCGTACTACTACAAGTCACCTCCACCACCCGTGTACTCTCCTCCCCCACCATACTACTACAAGTCACCTCCACCTCCCGTGTACTCACCTCCCCCACCATACTATTACAAGTCACCTCCACCTCCAGTGTACTCACCTCCCCCACCATACTACTACAAGTCTCCTCCACCACCAGTGTACTCTCCTCCCCCACCATACTACTACAAGTCACCTCCACCTCCCGTGTACTCACCTCCTCCGCCATACTACTACAAGTCTCCTCCACCACCTGTGTACTCTCCTCCACCACCATACTATTACAAGTCACCTCCTCCTCCAGTCTACTCTCCTCCCCCACCGTACTACTACAAGTCACCTCCACCACCAGTCTACTCTCCTCCACCACCATACTACTACAAGTCACCTCCTCCACCGGTGTACTCTCCTCCCCCACCGTACTACTACAAGTCACCTCCTCCACCGGTGTACTCTCCTCCCCCACCGTACTACTACAAGTCACCTCCTCCACCGGTGTACTCTCCTCCTCCACCGTACTACTACAAGTCACCTCCTCCTCCAGTGTACTCTCCTCCCCCACCGTACTACTACAAGTCACCACCACCTCCAGTGTACTCTCCTCCCCCACCGTACTACTACAAGTCTCCTCCACCTCCAGTCTACTCTCCTCCCCCACCGTACTACTACAAGTCTCCTCCACCTCCCGTCTACTCTCCTCCCCCACCGTACTACTACAAGTCTCCTCCACCTCCCGTCTACTCTCCTCCTCCGCCATACTACTACAAATCTCCTCCACCTCCCGTCTACTCTCCTCCTCCACCATACTACTACAAGTCTCCACCACCACCTTCTCCATCTCCCCCACCACCATACTACTACAAATCTCCTCCCCCACCATCACCGTCACCTCCTCCACCGTACTACTACAAGTCCCCACCACCACCATCCCCATCACCTCCTCCTCCATACTACTACAAGTCCCCACCACCACCGTCCCCATCACCTCCCCCTCCATACTACTACAAGTCCCCACCGCCACCATCCCCATCACCTCCTCCACCATACTACTACAAGTCCCCACCACCACCGTCTCCATCACCTCCTCCACCATACTACTACCAATCTCCTCCCCCTCCTTCACCTTCTCCTCCTCCCCCATACTACTACAAATCTCCCCCACCACCCGAGAAAGCCCTCCCCCCGGTTTACATTTACGCATCGCCGCCCCCACCTACCCACTATTAAGTTCTAAAAAAGTTGGACACCAATCTTGTAAGTAAATCAAGCTTCCCTACTCATTAATTTTCATTCCCCCATCAAATTTCTCTTCCAAAATTTCTAATGAGTTCTTAACACATCCGCAGGTTTTATTTTCAAAAGTGGAATAAATGAAGGCTTCCTTAGTGAAACAGTTAGTGGTGGTGAATTCAGCCCATTGAATAATAAGGGTCCTTTTGCAAAAACAGAGCATTATCCAAACATTTTGGACCAGATTGCATCTTCTTCTCTCGTTGCCATCTTCCATATCATCTTATTACTGTGTTCTTCTGGGAAAGTGGCCTCAAGGGTTGAGCTTGCATCAATGGCAGGGCTTGGATGTTGCAGAAGATGATTATTGTTTTGTGATTTGAGTAGTGAAGCCTTTTGTTATTTGTTTTAATTCATATCTATTTGTGAATAGATGAAGTATGCATTGGCTACGATTTGTGATTTTGTTCACTTTGGGATATTTATTTGCATTAAAATAACTTCTCTCTTCTTTTAAACCTCCAAGAGTTCAATCCAATACAAAATTTCTAATAATTTTCTCGTTCACACGAATTAATATGTCACAAGAATTTGTATCGTTGAATGTATAAGAGAGAAATTTAAAATTGATCCGGGAGACACAGGTGGGAGACAGCTTTAATGTTGAGTTGTCTTAAAAATGTTTGGTTGCTTTGTTGCTTGGAATTGGAGTGAGAGAGTGATTGGAACGTGGGATCAATTTCCTTCTACTTTTTTCAACAACACTCACGGTTCAAACAGATTCAAATTATAACGATTATTATCGGGCTATGTTTAGAGATGTCCAAGAGGCGAGCGGAGATGGAGGAGTCGTTTCCGTCCTCATCTCTGCCACCTATTTCATTTTCTATTTCACCAAAACTTTCCATTAATTTTTGTGAGGAATTTTTAAATAAAAAAATAGATATTTTAAAGTTTTTATTTTTTAATATAATTTTTATTAATTTTTTAATAAATCAATAAGCAAATATATATATATAATGTGGGTAATTTTAAAAGTTTAACATAATTTTTAAATTAAATAATTTATTTTTTATTTAAATTTTTTAATATGCGTCGAAAATATATTTATATTAAACGAGGCAAAGACGGAGACAGGAATATAATTTCGTCCTCGGCCCTATTTATCTAACTGAAAAAATGTTCCTCTCCCTTTTCTTGTTTAAACGAGGAGTCTTCAACTCCACCGCATTTAGAGTTGATAAAATTAACGTTTTTAGTCGTTCTTAATAATTGATGGGGCAAAAAAAAAAAAAAGTTTAATGTATTTTGCCCCTTTTTCTATTATTCTTTTCCTTTCATGTCTAATCTTAATGAATGAGCATGGAGATGGAGTGTATTCAAAGTCATCTAGAATAATTTCATGTTTTTTTTTTTTTTTTTTTTTTTTTTTGAAAATAAACAAAGAGTTTCTTTTCTAGCAAACTTGTTTGATAAGATAATTTTTTTAAAAAAATGTTAGATTTATGTTTTAGTCCACATGGTACGACGGTTTCTTAAAGTTTAGTTCCATTGGTAGATATATGAGTTGATTGGATAACCTCTAACTTGTTACGGGAAGAAATATGTTTAAATCAATTAAATTTATGAATATTTACTTTCTTCAGAGTAACCGTGTCGGAGGCATGACCCGTCTAATTAAGGCCAGGAGCACATCGTTGACAGAAGAGACGAGCCAACCAGTGCTCACCATAGACAGATCGATCGACCCAACTCAAGGTCCAACTACGAGCTTTTTAATTGATACCCTATTTAAGCTTGAATTACTGTGGCTGCTGGCACCAAACTTACCCTCCAATTGATTCTCGTTAAGAGATTTAGATTGTACTTATTCCAATTACAATTCTCGTACAGCCCGATATTGCGTGTTAGGAAAGGGTAATTTGCGCATATGTTGCCTTCCTTGAATGTGATACCCATTTCTCAGTCTCCCTCTCTAGAATTGAACCCTAATTCTCCATGACCCGTCACTACCATAGTAGGCCACTATTCTACCATCGAAAATTGAAAGGTTAGAAATTTGTCTGATGCGTCACCGACATAATGGTCATTGAATCCATTGAGTTATCATGAATCATTAGAGCAATGGACAGAGCCCACGTCGAACTTTTATCTAACAAATGTATCATTTCTAGAAGTCAAATTTTAATGGCAGGTATTAGCTAAAAAAATCATTGAATAACCATAATCATACTCATTAAATACCATCTCGATATAATTGAGCTGAAACTTTTATTTTAGCCACCAACTTTCAACGACTAAAATTAAATGATATTAAGACCTAAAACTTACTATACCGTAAATGATTCGACCTAAACATGTGAATCGAAGAAAAATCAACAAGATTTTATATAAATATAAGCAAGGAAGAGATAAGAAGCAAAGAAGAAAAAGTCAAATAAAAATATTCCATTGAAAAAAGATGAAACGCATTAAATAATAAAAGCACAAAAATGTACTAAGAGATGTAACATTGGACAAATTCATTTTGATAAGAACACATGTTTGATGGAGTAGGAACACTAACAGCTGGATCAACTCGCCTCGTAATACTTCAATTATTCGGTTTCGTAGTCAATAGTTCAATCAAAGATAACTCCGTCAATCTAAATATAACTCATTTGAATTTCAACTCGTATTTATATATATCTCGTAAAATTTCAAAATAAAGAAATAAATTTAAATAAGACGGTCGAGAGTATTTGTAAACTATCTCTTTTAGGTTTTGTTGTTTTTTTTTAGTGTATAATATATGTAATTATATTTTAAGATTATACCATATATGGAGGTGTACACGTGTTGGGTTGAGAAATCTTTTGGTTCAACCCAAAATTTCAGGTTTGTTAGGTTGGTGGCTCGAGCAACCTGAATATAGTTCACAACTCAACTCAACTCAACTTCTATTTTTTTTTTATTGGGTTTATTAATTACTTATCCATAATATAGGTGAGGTAAATAACTAAAATACTATAAATCTCAAATATCAAACGCATCACTGACATCTGTTGTTATCAGCATCAAATATTCTTAATTTTTATAATAATCTTAAAAGTAGGGTAGAGTTGTATTAGGTCATATTTTGGTCGTTTGAGTTGACCCGATCAAAATAATGTCAACCCCTGAACCGACCCTAGTTCTCGATTTTTCAAAAATTCAATTCAACCTAAAAAAGAAAAGATTAATTCATCCTATCTTTATGGTTTGGATTGGGTAGTCTGTGAGTTGAATTATTTTTAGAAAGGTACGAAATTTGGAAATAATAGAAAGAGTTTGAATTATGAATTGAATTATAATGATTTTTTTTTTGGTTGTTCACTAAATCTTACAATAATATATTTCAAAATACCTAAATATGATAATTACTCAACTACCCTTGGTTCACATTGATGTAATTTTATTAATCAAATCAATTTTTTTAAAAATAAAATAGCTATCAAAAGGATTTGAGAAATCAAAATTATCAAACTTAATTTGTATTTTTCTTAAAAAAAAACATTACTTGTACTTTTTTTTTTTTTTCCTTCTCAATATTTCTTCTTACAATTATTTAAATGAACAGAAAAAAATAATATTAATATTAGGGCATTTTGGACATTTCCTACCTAAGGTAACCTTTGAAGACTTTTTCCATGCCCAATTTCTTTGTAGCAGGTGAGCCCTTTTCCTCATTGTCAATAAAAAAACATTATATATTTTATTTATACCTTTTCATTTAAAATTTAATTTAAAAAAACATATATGAAATTTAACTTTCTAACACGAGAGGTTATTAGTTAGCTATAGATCGAAGATCGAACCGTTATCGTTATAGTTGGAAGTGTTTAAGGGATTTAATCAAAATTAAAAGACATAATCAAAATCAATTTCAAGTTAGGGATTAAAAAGAAGTTATTTAATTGGAAATTTGAACGTAATTTTTTTAAAGTAAAAATTAAATAAGCAATATATGAAATGGGTAAAAAAAATTAATTGACAAATTTAGGGTTTGAAAAAATAACCCTTAAACTATACACACTAATTAAAAGTTTTTATTGGATACTTTTCATTTTTAGAATATTTGTGTTTGTAATTTTATAAAATTAATTACAAAAAATATTTTTTTAATATATTTTATCTTTGTTTAATAGATTAAAAAATATTGAAATTATAGTTTTTGTGCATATTGGGACTATGAAGCTTGCTGGGCCTTCATCAAATGAAATTTTTAGATTCAAAACCCCAAAAATTCGATTAAATAATTTTACATAAATAATTTTTTTTTTTTTTTTTTTTTTTTTTTTTTTTTTTTTTTTTTT